ATAACTTTCCTTGAAACGAAATAATAACAAAGGGGAGCCATAACCAAAAAAAAAAAAAAAAAAAAGAATTCTTGAAGGAGGTGGTTTTCAGACTAGATGTTAAAACAAATAGGACTTCAATCAGCAGAAGAAAAGCAGGGTGTGTTTGCAAGGCAAGTAACCTGGTGTAGCTGGCGGCAAGGTGTGTGGAGATGGAGGTGGGAGGGGTGGCCTGTAGAGCGAGACTAGGTGGGGAAAAAGGTGAAAGGGGCCGCGATTCTATTTGTGGTGGGTTTTAAACCTCAGGCCAAAGTTCAGGCGATTGCACAGGAGCAGGCTGAGATCAGGTCTTGCATGAGAGAGAAATCGGGGAAGGACCAACCCTGGGAGGCACATGTGTTGGAGCTGAGGGGAGACGGGACAAAGTGAGTCTGATGAAGGCTGAGTAAGTACGTGAGAGCCCAGCCAGCAGGGCTGAGCCCCAGCACAGCGGCTCTCCCCGGTGGGTGATCAGATTCACCTGCAGCCAGGCTGATCACGCGCGACCTTCCCTTGAACCCAGTCAGGAAATCACGGCGAAATCCCTCCTCCCCATAAATTAAAGACAACCACGGTAGCAACGACAGATTGGGGGCAAACAACAGTGGCCTCACAGCTGTCCCTGCCAGCAGGGGTCTTTAACACCCACTGGTTCAGGCTGGATGTGATTGGGGTAAGATAACATCAGCTGATCTTCTAAATCAGTTTTGTGCTGTGAACCAGCAGAAGGTCTCGGGGTGGGGGGGGTTCGGGGACCCCCTCTTTCCCGATCATTTACTTGAGTGAATCAGCTCTGTTTCCAGTCAGAGTATAGAAGGAGCAGTTGGGGCTGGCAGAGGAAGGAGAGGGGAGAGCATAAGACGTCCCTCTTAAAATAAACTTTTAGTAACTTTCTGTTACTGGAACCCCCTTGGCCAGCCAGCATAGAACACAATTTAACAGGCACAGCTCAACCCCAGCCTCCCCAGCAGATCTCTGAGCTCCAAGCTCCTAATTGACGACAAATGGATTTTAGTACCAATAATGATTGCAAGAAGTTCCCATGTCTTATACTCAAGATTTAGGAATTTCTGAGACAATGTATTTGAAATATTCAATTCTGTTGACCCCATAAATATAGAGAGATTTGTCAGACTCTGTGTTCCAAAGGCTGGTTCTGGAAATATGGGCCTAATGCCATTTGTAGCTGCTATTTATTGAATTCGCGGGCCAGGCACGGTGTTAATCTTGTGGATCACTGCATTTAATGTTCACAGAGACTCTATGTAAAAGGAGCTATTATTATAGTTTCATTTTACAGCTGGAGAAACTGAGGCTCCAAGACATTAAGAATTTTTCCAAAGTCATGCAGCCAAAAGTTGCAATGCTGACATTGAAAACTGTCTGATTGTAAAGCACCAAGAAAAACACGTTTCTCATCGATGCTAGTTAACCTTCCAGAGACGGCTTAGCGAGGGCCAGGGTGAGACGTGGAAGGCACTCACATTGAGCGCAAAATGCAAGGGGTTCCTAAAACCTCAGTAATCGAGAGAAATAATATTTTAATGCCATGTTTTTAAAAATCAAAATTAATGCAAAAAATACACGATGAATAAAATATTAAAATTTTCAATAAGAGAGTATCAAATCAGTGACTCAGGATTGGCTGGGTGGGGAGAAGGTCCTTTGTGGGTTTGTCTCTTGTGAGCAGATTCCTGAAGTGAGTTGTGAGCTTTGCCCACCACGTTCCCTTTGCCCACCACATTCCCGTTTTTTTAGGCTCTTACAAAGCTGATCTTTCCCATCTACTTCCCCTCCAGCTGAATTCCAGAGGAAGACTCAAGCAGCTATAAATGGGAGATAAAGATTTCTGTGCTGAACAAAGAGTGGGTCTGGAACCCCAGAGTATAAATAAAAGTTAGTTTGCTGTGCTCTGCCTTATATGACTGCTGCCATTGCTGCTGCTCCTGAGGAGACTTTGAGGGAGAGCCCAGGGCTCCTCCCAGATGAGAACCTCCCCCAACTCGAGGATGACCCTACAAAGACGTGCAGGGCATTCCGTAAAGGGTGTCCATTTGCTCTTGGGGTGGCCAGCTCCTTGGCACACGAGCTTACTCCCTAATGCAGTTCCGTGGGCCACAAGCCAAAAAGAAAGATGCGTATTTAGGTCTTGCTGAAACACAGAATGATTTTGCCTAAGCCCAGCCCTTGGCTTTGCCCATGCCTTCCCAATGCCTTGGCTCTCAGCTCCCTGAAAGTGGCTGGAGGCAGCCGAGGGAGGTGTAGGCAGAGACGGAGGAACTACAGTGGCCAGCGCCACAGAGGGGAGAGCTCTTCGACCAGGCGCAGAGCCAAGCTGCTGAGAGCTCCTTGGAGAGAAGCGAAAAGTGCCCCATTGTCGGCAAACCTCCAATCAGGGCTAGGAATAGTTCAGGATTTAACGGGTTGAAAATTTAAAGGGCCCTTTTATTGAGCAGCGGGAAGGGCTATGGTCATTATCACCCATTGTGAGCACGTTGAGGGGCTTCTTCAAGCACGGAGACCCAATATTTCAAAGTGAGGATTGTGCTTGAGATCTACTGAAGGGTGTGGGATTTGGGGTCTGAGTCTGGGCTTTGAGCTCATTTGGGGTCTGAGTCTGGGCTTTGAGCTCATTTCTAGGAAAACCAACTGTCCCAGTTTGCCCCAGGGCTGAGGGGTTTCCTGGGACACTGGACTTTCAGTGCTAAAATCTGATAAGTCCTGGGCAAATTGAGATGAGTGGGTCCCTCTCTTTAGACTTCATTCTAGCAGTGATCCCCTCAAACTTTCCGTATCTCCTTTTCCTCACGTATAGAACCAAGATACTGTTAAGACCTGCCGGACTTACCTCGCAAGCTGGCGGGGCTCGAAACAACTAATGAATGTTGTCTGCCACACCTTGAACCTGATTATAGTACATCCACTGCCAGACAGGCATCTGCGGGCCTGTCCTCCCTCTCAGTCTGAACTCTTTGGGTGGGGGAGGAACGAGACCACCTTATTCATCTGTGCATTCCCAGGGCCAGCGCTTGGCAAAGCGAAGATGCTCGGGAAATCTGTGCTACATTGAAAGCACTTTGTAAAGCAAAGCACAGAGTGTGCTCATTGATTGGTTAGCACTCTCGTTTTCTGCCTGCCCTGGTTAGCCCCACAAGAAGGTCCTGTACGGGTTTAGACAGACAGACGTTGCCCCAAGGGTGGCTGTAAGGAGGATATAGCAATGGGGGCAGAAGGCATGGGCACTGCCTTGTTTTGATAAAAAGTGAATAGGCAGTGAGAGAAGACAGGGAGGGTCCCACAGGGAGATAAAAAAGCAAGAGGTCCCTATTACAGGGAGGAGATGAACTTTAGCTGGGATTTAAACAAGTGGGCCAGCTCCATCCTCTGGCCTCTGGGCTCTAGCACTAAGCTGGGCTTTACCTGCATTGAGGTCCAATGCTTGCCCTTGGATGCCTACCTCTCCCCAAGGCCAGTGATCCCTCAAGAAGGCCTTCCCTGGGGTCACCAGACACCTCCTCCCCGCCCACCCCCCACACCCCATGTTGAGCTGTCCTTTGGCCTGTGCACAGCCCAGCTGGGCAGGGTAATACCTCGTGAGCAGTCTGCCCTAAATCTCACACTCCGTCTCCCCTCACCCCTTGCCTGTCTCATCTCAGTCTTAGGCTGCTAGGCTTCTGGAGACATAGACTCCTGGCTCTGCTTGATCGCCCAGGGTTCCAGCCTTTGTCCTAGCCTTCGAGCCTTTGTCTCAGCCTTCTTCCCTGATAAGCAAACCCTGTGGCTCTGGGACCATTCAGAGCTGGCCGGGCCATGGTGGGGAGAAGCACGACCCCCAGGCAGCTGGGGTTCAGGAAAGCCCCTCTCCAGCTCTTGCCGGCCTGCACTGAGGTTCTGTCTCACATATTTTCCAAATCTTTGTGGATCTTGTTTCATTCTCTTGCTGGCACATACTTCCTAGGGCCCAGGAGTCCTGGGGACATAGATACAGCCCTCCCGTCACAAGAGGATCCTAGAACTCTGAGTAGAGGAAACTCCGAAGGTAACACCTGCCTTCAGGTAGGTTAGATAGTATTGTTCACAATTCATGGTCAGGGCAGTTAGGCTCAGAGAGGGCAAGCAACCTTCCCAAGGTCACACAGTATAAGAACAGTCATCTGCCCTTTAGCCACCTACCTGAACTCTCCTTTTTCCGTCTGCTTGACTTCTTCTCCGTCTCATTAGCAGTTCTCCCAAGGACCTCATAGTCCTCGCCTGGGCCTCCCGTGTTGTCCACCAGGCCTGGGCTGCTGGCCCCCATCTCCCTGGAGCTCCCAGCTGGGCCCGGGTTAAGCCTGCGCCGGGCCTCCGAGACAGGGAAGTGCCAGTCGGGGGGTTGTGGGAAGGCGGGGTGCTGCTCAGTGAAGATGCGCTCCTCCTGGGGTAGGCTGTGTGGGGTGGCCGCCAGGCAGGAGGCAGAGAAGTCAGGGTAAGCTGCTGTCGCTGTCGCCGAGAAGTCTGGTTTCTGGTGGAAGGAGAACGGGGTTGGCGGGTAGTGGGGTAACCCTGAGGCCCCACTGCCTTCGGAGTGGGGATTTCGAAGGCAGCCCCAGACGGGGGTTGGGGGGTGGGGGCTCCTCATGCAGCTGCTGGCCACGGGATCCATCTGCCGTCTGTGCACGCCTCAGTCTTTTAAAGGGTTGATTCTTATACTTTTTATATTCGAATTTTAAAAAATACAAAAAAAAAAAAAAAAAAAGGAAAAAGAAAAAAGGAGAGAAAAATGTTCAACAGAAAGTTCACCCCAGGAATCAAAACAAAAACCAAAACTAAAGTCTCTTTTTAAAGTCCGTGCACATGCGGCCAGCTACACGTATGTGTGGGCGCACACCTACGTTGGACTTCGCTCCTTGCTTCCTGCCCCTGCCTGACACACCAGACTGCCTATTGGGGTCCCCTGTACGTGTATTTGTCGCCGATGACACTAAACATTTTCACTGTCCCAGCCCAGACGCACCAGCTGATGGAGTGGTTGTCCCGAAGCCCGCAGCAAATGCCTGCAGAGGGCTGGACCAGGGCTGCTGAGACACACTTTTAAATGCTGCAGTGAGGAGAGAGTGACAAATTTCTGAAGTGAAATGTGAGAGAGGAGAGGGAGGGGTTAACCCGCACCCACACGATCCCCTCCAACCAAAACCCGAGCAGGCAACTATTAATCATCAGAAACCTTATATGCACATCTAATGGGATTTGCAGATGGAGACTTTTAAAGAAACATTGTCTGTATTTTTTTTTTTAAGGAGAGAGAGCAGCACACACACACAACTTCTTTAATGTGCCTCCTGTAACACTATGAAGTTATTTTATTGCACTGTTAACAAAATTCCCCAAGACTTGGATTTGGAAAAAGCCTTAAGTCAGGTCCAGAATCCATCAAGTGCCAAATTCCAGGGAGTGAAGCAGGCAATAAGTGCAAGAGACAAGTTTGCTGATTGCATTTGATTTAAAGGCCCTTCTACTGCTGCTTGCAAAAAGGAAGGTGGGGATTAAAAGAAATCTTTTTTTGCAAGTCTCAGCGGCCCAGTAGGGTCTGTGGTATAAAGGAAGACATTCTCCAGAAAAAAATTATTTCTCTCTGCCCAAAGTGACATTCTCACTTTCTCAGTAACTTAAAAAAACAAAACAAAACAAAACAAAACAAAAAAACCAATCAGATTCTTCCTTCCGCTCTTTAACCCCCAACTTAATGCCAATTAGCCACACTCTTCTCTAGAGGGATTTCAAGTCATTTTTCTCCACGGCAAAGGAAAAGCTCTTAAATAAGTCCTTTGAAGTTTCTTCTGGCCTCCCCCACCTGCTCCCTGGCCCCCTAACCTTCACCCACCTGCTTCTCCCTCCCCACCCCCAGAGGCCAAAGCTTCCATGGACTCTGGGGCACAGAAATAGGAATCAGGGGTATTCTCATTCCCAAAGGAGTTCTCTTTGGCAATGGTCACATGGTCTTCCCGGCTGGTGCCTATCACAGGAGGGCCACTGCTATTTCAACTGGTTAATCTGTCTACTTCATCCCCATGGCCTTGCCTGGTCTCCATGGAGGGTTAATGTAATTTCTTGGAGGATGACATTCTGAGCCCACGGGGCCAGAGCTCCTCTCCAATCAACTATTTCCACTGCCCAGAGCAGCAAAGTAGGGGGCTGAAATGGGCATGGACCATAATACCAAGGTCTCTGCCGTCTGGTTGCAAAGGAGAAGAGGTCTTGGCTCTGCGGCCTGGAGGCTGCATACACACTCTTCATGGAACAGGCATTTCGTCTTCCGGAATGGGCAGCCAGGGTGTTGCAGGCCAACAGAGAAGATGGGTCAGAGCCACAAATCAGACTCACCTCTCTGCTTTGCCCAGGACTTAGCTGTTGCATATACATTTCTCCTCTGAACATCACCACTCTCCCATTATGGGTAAAGTTAAGGATTATGTTCTACCTTTTACAAATGAGGCTCAGACAGATGATGTGGGCTGCTCAGAATCACATGGCTAAGAAATGGCAGGACTGGAGTTATCCTCAGGTGTCTGGAGCAGCTTGCTGTATGGACTTCGGGCTTAACCAGGTGTGAATTCAAATCTTAAGTCTGCTACTTTCTGGCTGTGTTCCCTGGGACAAGTCACCTCACCTCTCTGAGCTTGTTTCCTCATCTGGGATGATGGTCCATTCATCCACTGATGAGAGTTGACATTCATTCGCTGATCTTAGCACTTCCTCATAGTCCCCAAATGGATCTCCACAAAAGCCCTGTGAGGCAAACGCATTTCTCACGTCCATTTTTTTTTTTTTCAGAAGAGAGGACTCTGAAGCACAGAGAGGCTGTGTAACCTGTACAGTGTCACACAGCTGGGAAGCAGAGGACCCAGAATTCAAACCCAGGCAGCCTGGCCTCACTGCATCAGAATACCTACCCCACAGACATTTGAAATTTTTTAAATGAATCATTTGTGTGAATTACACAGTAGATAATAGATAAATGCGGCTCACATCCTAGCATATCTTATTCTCCTTAACCCGATGATTCCGAAGGGAGGCTGTGGGGCTGGGGAGCACTGAAGAAATTCTACAGAAACAGCCTTGAGAGGTTCTCTGAGGGGCTCCAGGCTGTGGGGGCTCTAGAAGGAATCCACAGGAGGCTGGGAGGAAGATCTGGCCTTTCTGGGGCCTGGCCCGGCAGGCTGTAACCGGATTCCTGCTCTGGTCTCGCATCTGGCCCAAGGACCCCAGCCCAGGGAGGCCCAGCCGCTTGGCCCTTTGCCCCTGGAAGAGGTGGGCCCTGGGTCATGGTGGGGTGGGTGGAGAGGTCAGGAGGGGCAGCAGGGAGGGGACACAGTGGGGATGCTCCGTGGAGGGCCCTGGCACCCCGGCGCCCGCACAGCTGCTGGTGTCTGTCAGCTACCCCGCAGGGCGCGGCCAGGGGCCCCGCTGGCCTCTACATCTTCCTGACAGGCCCCTCTTCTGAGGCCAGGAAAAAACAACAATAGTTCCTCCCCTCTTGGCAACCCATTTGTTAGATGAAGGCCGGGCACCAGCACCTTTAACCTCCTCAAAGTCAGCATTTCCCCGTCAAGGCCCCGCGGGCTCACGAGACAGAGATGGATTGAAGTGGCTGTTTATGGAAAAAAGCCCTGAGGTCCGGCGGCCAAGGGGAGCAGGGTTTTCAGGAAGGGAGGGGACCCCGTTTCTGATTGTTGTTGGGGGTGGCAGGCGTAGGAAGAGGAAAAGCATGTGTTAGGAGGAGGGTCCCTGAGGGTCCCTGAGGACTGTCTACTTGGCCACACCTGAGCCATTCCAAAGAACTTTCGGAATTTCTCTCATGATGCACAACAAGCAGGCGTGTCCTTGGCGCCACCGATCTGCTTCCGTGCGTGGCCACCCCACCCACCTGTGCCTGGAGTTGCAGGGTGTCCGAGGGAGAACCTGGGGCCGGCAGGCAGAAGACTCAGGTTCAAGGTGTGGCCTTGCCTGTCAGCGGCTGTGTGGTCTCAGGCAAGCGACACTCTTTTCTGAGCCTCAGTTTTCTCACTGGCAAAATGGAGATGACAGTACCAGCTCCATGTGTCTGTTCTGAGGAGAAACGAACTGATGTCTGTGAAAAGTGTTGGCTGACTATAAAGGGTGATGCATGTGGAGAACTATTATGCTTTCCCTTTCTTTGCTGGACCACAGGGCATGTCGTGTCTTGATGGAGGATGAGGGTGGCCCATCCTAGCCCCCTAATACCTTCTCCCACTGCAACATAACAGAAGGTCAAGATCACAGCTTTGGGAACCAGCATGGATTCGAATTTCAGCTTTAGCACTAATCAGTTGAATGGCCTTGAGCAACTCGTTTATCACTTGAGCCTCAGTTTCCTCATCTGTAAACTGGAGATAAACTTCTTTCCTTGTTAGGCTGCTGAGAGAAGTGAGTGAGATGATCTGGAAAAACTCTTGCCATAGCCTGGTGTACAGTTTTTAGTGATACTCGGTGGATGATGATGATGATAAGGATGATGATGAGAACACCTGAGATGTTCTCCTTAAAGACAACTCCAGAAGGCCCTGTGAAATACTGATATGCCATTAAGAGGGATAAGATGAAACCATTAGCATTCACTCACATGGTACAACATGTGAACTGGACAAGACACCTGTTACCGAGCAAGACCCTGGGGGAAGGGGACAGAAGACAAACAAGCTTCGAATATGGTAGAAATCTCACTGGACTAGAATATTTACCACTGGGCCTGGCATTTATTTGGAATGTGTATGTCCTTTGCTTCTCAGAAAGCTTGGAGGCAGCAGGGTCACTACTGCCCTATATGACTTTGTGAGGCTCAAATAATAGGATGGACAAGACAGAGCTGAGTAAACCACAGAATACAGTCCTCACAACTGTCACAGATGCCCCTGCGAAGTCTTCAAGGTGGAGACAAAACATTTCACCCTAGGGAACCAATGATGGGGTCTGTCCCTAAATCCCACAAAACACTGAGTATTAATAGACAGTTTCCTCAGATGAATGTTTTCTCTCATGAATATATTTTTGGACCTTTGGTGCTAGCCATATCTTGTCTGCTACTAAGATTGTAGGCAGATGACTGAAAAACACAATGCATAGGGGGCCTGCATTGGATCCCTGGCTCTTGGAGGTCATGTAACCTGGGTTTCCTCAATTGAAAAGTGGAGGCTTGCTGTATAGACAGTTTACAGACGCTCAGGAGGTGCTCAGTAAACATGTCCTTCCCAGGGCTTCTGTGCCTGAAGGAGTTAGAGGCATGTTGAGCTCAAGGAAAGGCTCTAAGTTAGGGCAGCCAGATAAAATACAGGAAGTACAGTTAAGTAATATTTGAGTAATATTTAAGTAATATGCTAAAAAGTTATTTGTCGTTTATCTGAAATTCAAATTTAACTGGGTATCCTTTTACCCTCCCTAAATCTGGAAACCCTAATCTAAAGCAAAAGTCATCTTTGAGATGACGAAGGCTTACTTAGGCCTTACCTCCTGAGCCAGGCTATTTGCACTTTGACAGAAGCCTCTGGAAAGAAACTCTGAAGGAGGCATTCCAGGGGGAGATGTGGTAGTTGCCTTTCTTTGGCTGTGGGCTTTCTGGTTGCAGGAGGAGCCCAGGGTCCCCCAGGAAGGTCT